CAGCGTCACCGAAATGACGGGAATAAACACACACGTGCGAAACTCTGTTGCTGTCCCGGAAAAACAAACCGCATCCACTGTTTCCTTAATGCTGGGTTCTTTGGGAAGCTGAACAAGGTTATCTTTCCCTCACATCCAAAAGCAAACTTCTTTGAAGACATTCTTCTCGACGACTTCCGTAACCCGAATGAAGCACGTTGATGGGCGCGTGCTGTCGCTCTATTTGCTGTGTGCACGCGCTCTTCCGGGGGAAGTGCCCGTACAAGGACGTGACATCATGAAGAGCCATGCTCAAAATAAACTTTCCGAAACTTATTCAAACCTGGACGGAGTGTATTTGGCACAGAAATACTCCCGCTGGTCTCTACAATGTAGATGTCATAGCAACCTTATTTACAGAAAATATATATTTGATATATTGCTATCTTTAAATAAATCACTCATATAAAGTTTTGGTCATGTGGCCTAAAAATAACCGTGTTACATAATCGTGATTACAATATTGACCAAAATAATCGTGATTATGATTTTTGCCATAATCGAGCAGCCCTAGCTCAGACGATGAATCCTATCTCCTATCAGAGGAGATCAAACATGTCTGATATGTTAATCAGATTTCCATTTGTTATGCATCTGGAGTGTATTTGGCACAGAAATACTCCGTCATATGTCCAAATCATTTTTTAAAACTTTGGCCATGTTTAGCATGAGAATCCAACTCTTTAACTCTGTAAATAACTCCGAATGCATGAAATAGCATTAGACCCCCCCTTTAATATTAATCAAACAACAAATGACAGAGAGAAAAGGACTCTGCTCTTGACTGTTTCTTATTAAAGCTACAAAAGTCCTTCAAAGCAAGTTTAATTCTTACAGTAAAGACTATGCTGTTTTATTTTACATTCAATTATTCAATTTCAATATGAACTCTTGTCAGTCAGTTCCTCTCAATGAATGCGTCAGACGCTAAGCAAAATTATCCAAACTGGGACACTTTGAGACTGAATAATTCAGCCTGTTTACTTGAGCACTGACAGTGTCACGTGTGTGTGTGTGTTTCAGTTTAGTTTCTGTTTGTCACTATTTGGTTAATTTCCTGCTCATTTAGTTAATCATCATTCATTAGTTTCCACCTGTGTTGTATTAATCATCTCGTTGACTCCTTGGTTCCCTGTCTTTACAAGCCCTCAGTTTCCTGTCTTTCCTTTGTCTTGGATTAACGTTACTTTGAATGGTCAATGTGTGTTAATGCTAATTAAACATCTCCTTTACGTCTACTCCTTGTCAAGCGCCTTTACTATAACCACGACCGCGTGACAGACAGTAAAAAACAGTAAAATTAGGGAAGAACATGTTTTCATGTATGTTTTTCAGCATGTACTGTATATTTAAAGGGGTCATATGATGCTTTTTTTAAAGATCATTATTTTGTGTATTTGGTGTAACAGAATATGTTGACATGCTTTAATGTTCAAAAAACACATTATTTTTCAAATACTGTACATTATTGTAGGTCCTCTATGCCCCGCCTCTCTCAAACGCTTCGTTTTCTACAAAGTCCCTCCTTCCAACAAGCGCAGTCTGCTCTGATTGGCCAGCTGACCCAGTGCATTGGGATTGGCCGAACACCGCAAGTGTAATGTAACCGGAAATGTAACGCCCCTTACCATAATCGCGAGCGTCAGCTTTCAAA